TCAGTACGCAGAGATTCAGGTCATCAAGTAAGTCCAGCAGGGAAGAGGACAGTGGGTCATTAAAATGTGATCCCCACATAGTGTGATGGCAATTAAAATCACCAAGCACAATAAGAGGGGAAGGGATAGTACCTAGGATAGTTTGCAACTCTGAGATGTGAGAATAATTTGGGTGAGGGATATAAATAGACACAAAAGAGATATTGAGTACTCTTACTGCTACAATTTGGAAGCCAGGGCTATGAGAAGGTATGGTAATTTGTGTAAAGGGAAAGGATTTACATACTAATAGGGCGGAACCCGCCCAACCATCATCCCTGTCATCCCGGAGAACAGCATGACCTGATACCCGAAATGGAGTGCCAGGTTTTAGCCATGTCTCCGAGATGGCAGTGACAACAGGTTTATAGTGATTAAGAAGGTAAATGAGATCAGACTTCTTGTTTCTGATACTTCTAACGTTCCACTGTAGGACTGACTGGTCCATTATTAACAATTAACTTTGTGAGGAGCTGTTGAACAAGGATAGTGACATTGGGCGGTAAGGCTTCAGAGAATTTAGAGATAATGTTTATTAAGGTGCAAGTAAGTAATTCAATTAAGTTATCATTAGGAGTGGGAAGAGGAGTGGTTTCTATGTACTCCTGGTTGTCTGTTAAAGCGCAACCATTTGGTTGTGTACATTTTGGAGTTTGTGTAATGTTGTTGTGGGCAACTGCATCATAGGATTTGCCGAGAGGAGCATGAGGACGAGGGGAGTTATAAACTGTTTTGCGATAAGATACTGTTTTCTGAGGGGAGGAGTAGAGTGACTGCAGAGGGGGGTGGTCATATAATTGAGCGATAGAAGCCTGCGAGGGATACATATTGGACTGAGGTGTAGATGTCATATCAGCATAGGAGCGCCTAGGGACAGGGAATCTGGCTGAAGCTTCCATGTTAGCCACATGGAAGCTTCAGCCAGATTCCAGCCAGATGTTATATTCAACCATAACAATTTTAATATTTTTTTGTCTAATGTGTTCAGGGCATGTCGAATTAGTGGCTATATGGTTACCATCACATAAAACACAGAATGGTTGCTCTTCTTTTTTGTCACAAACATCACCGGAATGTTGACCTCCACATTGGAAACATCTAGGCTGTGATCGGCACTGCGTTTTTATGTGACCAAACCTGCAGCAGTTACGGCACTGGATGGTAGGGAGATTGTAGGGAGTCACTGGGAGAGAGGTATAGAAACAATAAACTTTTTCAGGAAGAATTTGTCCCTCAAAGGTTAGTACTACTGTAGTGGATGGATCCCAGCTAACACTATTGTCTGGTTTTCGAGATTTAATATTAAGCCTTCTGGCTCTAATAACTTGACCACAACTAGTTGGGGATTTTAAGTTTTCAAGTAGTTCTTCCAATGTCCAGTCTGTGGGAATATTGCGTATGACACCCATCCGGGATACTTGAAATTTAGGAATTACTCCACTATAGTTATTATTTGATAAGATTGGGTTACTTACAAAGTTATTGGCGTCAGAGTGGGAAGAGAATTCTACAGAAATTTTGTTTCTACCCAAGGCTTTGATGCCTTCTTCTTTAATTCCAGGGATATTGTGTTTATGAATGAATTGTGCAAACCTAAGAAGTCGGATAGAATAGCCGGCAGATACGTCTGGTTCCACTCTACTGACATGAACTGAAAATGGACCTGAGTCTGTACTTCTATATTTGAACTGTGCATCACTTTCAAAACCAGGTTTCGTATAAACTGATTGAATAGAGTTAGAAGGTGAAACTCACCGAAACCACTCGTTAAACAAGTCACAGGACAACACAAAAAGGAATATATACAAACTCAGCACAGTTTGACGTTTAAAATTAAATAAAGAATTAAAATTAGCTCGACCACGTGTTTACCCAACCACAGATCGCTCGACAACCCATATATTTACTCATATCTTTATTGCCCTGTATTTGATGACAATTTAATGATTGCTAATTGGGGCTTATTGTTTCCAAAATACTTTCATAGATGGCGCTGTTTTGATTTGTATCACGGTGTTTTACATGTTTAATTTATATTTTCAAATAATAAGTACTTACTATATTATTATGATAAATTAAACATAAAAAAAGTTTAAGTAAATATAAAACAGCTGAACAAGAAAACAATATTATTCCAGTAATACTTATTTAGGTGTTGCCATATTAAAAATAAATGCATAGATTTATCGATTTTTTCTATTGGATGTTATTGGATTTCTATGGATATTACAGCGCATTATTCGATGGTGCTTTTAATCAGTCTTTGCAAACAGTAAAATTTCATCATTTTGTATTATACTATTATTTGTGGAACGAATTGCAATGCATAATTTTTATTCGACGACGGCAAAATAGAGATTTTGACAGGTATACTATATACTTATCTATTCGCTCATAACTTCGAAACTTGGAAGAGGGAAATATTAAATAGATTGATCTCATACAAGTGTATTCTATTATATCAACCTCCACGCGGTCACCCTGGTAATTATGGCAATTAATGACATTAGTGGCATTGTTCTTCTATTAAAAAAAAAATACCTACTTATTGTAATTTAATGAATGAGAATTAAATGTGGTATAGAGTATATAAGGTCAGCTACACCTTTATGAAACCTCAATAAACAAGTGTTCTATGGTATCTAAATTACTGGCATTGATAGCTAAATATGAGGATCCTCGCATTTTTACAAATACTTGAATTTTGCCTTTGTAGAAGGATATTTTCAACCTTACTAATTTGTACAAGGTTTTGAAACGATAATCATTCATAATACTATGATATATTACTGATCCTAACACCTACTATTTATGATATCTCCATTAGAGGGTAGATTATTCATAATTTATATTATTAGATTTCATCACAAATAAAAATATCGATTTGAAATCGAAAGTTGGTCCACATTTTTTTATTACATTGAAATGACGAGTACTGGCAACATAAATGAAAGGTTAAAAATATAAAATATAGGAATAAAAGAATAGGATAATCGACTTTATGTCAAATGCTTAAAACATATTTTCACCAACATTGGATTTTTTCTCTTTTTTATCATTTAAGTTAAGTACTTCAATTCAACTTTTGAAATGTTCCTGTTCAGAGTTCATTGAACTTCTTATTTTTATGTCAAATTCAACAAATTAAATGTGTCTAAGGAAGTTATTACAAATATTTAGTAAACTATCGTGTCTTTGAGGATTATCTCATACCAAGTATAACTATAAGTTGTTAAGAGGCCTTTCACATTTTTTGGCCTAGAAGCAGGGTCTTTGGGGTTCTGGTTCTAAGAAATTAGGAGTCGGATATACATTTTGATTCCTGAATTATATAGATAGATATCTAATCTTAAAAACAACATCTTTGAAATGTTAATTTTCTCTTTGTTAGTCTTCCTAATTTCTAAAATAGTTTATTCAAAAACGCTAAGAGACAGAAGTTTGGGGTCGTCGTTCATTAATGAACAAACATAAATTGATATGATATCTTTACTAAAACTTAATTACTTTATAAATTGAGACAGCATCGTCCTTATTTTCATTTTGAACTTAAATATCTAAAAAATTGATCATAATTAAACCCGAAATTTCAACAAAACTTTGCCATAATCATTTCTAATTTTCTCATAAATACAACGAAATTTTTGCATAAAAAAAACATAATAATAAAGTTAATATACTTGTAAATTAGAAATATAAAAAAAAATATAAGTTTCTAAGAAAAAAATAAACAATAATAATAATTTAAAGTTGTATAAATTCCGTTGCGCCAAAAGTAATATCAGCCAATATCATGCGGCGACGTCATTGATGCAGGAACAGCAATGATAGCAGTTGAAGCTTTTTTTTTTTACAACTTAGAATGGCAAACAAGCTGTCGGCTCTCCTGATGGAAAAGGGTAACCGTCGCCTATATACATGATATTTTACAAATTGCCAGTTTATCATAATTAACTATATATTGAGAAATATTTATTAGAGAAATAATTATTAGAGAAATAATTATACACTGAAAATTATATGAGGTACCCATATGTACATCAATTGATTATAGCTAAAATCTATCTCTATCACATAACAATTGAAATAAAAAAACAGTATTAAAATCGGGCTATTCGTTAAGGAGCTATTGCTCCTTAACCGATAGCCCGATTTTAGTGCAGACGCGTTACGACATATCTTCGTCGGGAGAAAAAAAGTAGGCATGGAAAAAAGTAACTGTAACATAGTACATAGATACATAGGTGCATTAGCCGTGTCTGTAGAGTGTCAGCGAACAATATTATACCTACATTGAATTTTCGATCGTACCCAATCAGGAGTTCGATACAGTTATATATCTATTATGTATGTATCTTTGCAAAACAGATGTCATGTAGACCGAATTCCCTGCCATCTATTTTCATGCTTTATTACTAATCACCCACTAGTAATCCGAACTGCTTCAGATATAGCGACATCTAGCGCCTACGGCGTCGAAATAAAATAGCCCGAAGAATAGCCTGAGTCAGGAAGGACCATTTTCTTGTATGGGATGGGGTATCTGTATGTAATATTATATTATCTGTGGTACTACCATGTAGGAAATTTTTAAAACGGTATAAATTATGCAATGTGTAGGTAACTTTACAACTCACCTCATCAAAGTGATTCGTCCAGCTGAGAGTACTGGCAATTGTTACACAAAGATCTTTAACATGTGAGGAATATGATATAGCTATTCCATTGAATAGCACTGTACAGCTACAACCTACAATTAACATGAGTATAATTTTGCCAAGTTGTCTCAAACAACCCAATATAATCGCTTGTCATTTGCTGGGATTGACAGCGACCCAATTACTTTATAGCTCTTATTGATATATTCCTCCTCTAGACTATTATTTAGTCAAAATATGTGTATCCATCCAAAAACGTAACTATGTATACAGCCCTTCACAGTTAAAAAATGGATGAATAGATACAAAAGGCACATTGTAGAATTTTATGTTCTGTAAATATAAATCACATGCTTAATTAACAATAAACTACATTACAGAGGAAAACATTTTAGGAATTCTACTTAACTGCAACTTTAAACTCTACTTTTATATGCTAATACAGTTCATAATAATGAATAGCATAATAATAGCATGCCAATCACAGGGAGTACTGCTTCAAACATTTTAATTATCAATTTAGTACCAAAATTAGCAAAAAAAAAGAAAACATTATCCATGATTTTATCTCATTTAAAAAGGCACTTAGTGATGCTTACATGTAATGTAATTGTTTGTTAAAGATCTTCATGTTTCATTTTCTTGCGATGTGGAAATGACCAAAATTCTGATGGAAGACCCTGCACATCTCTTTCTCGTTTTACAAATGCAGTGAAAGAAGATACACAATTTCCAATAAAATAGTTCGCTTGTCCCAAAATAGCTAAATCTAAATGAGGATTTGATGGATGTAGAGTTATTGTTTTTATGGCAAAACCATCCAAGGCTGAATTGAATTCCTTCACCATGTGGTTTGAATCCGATGCAATAAAGAGATATTTGATATCCTCAAGTTTTTTTAAAGCTCTCTTTACTTGCCTGAAATCAATGATTTTGTAGATCAACAACTAGTAATGTAATGAAAGCATGTAGAACTACCTGTTTATAACTCAGGTACAATCATAATAACACTGGTATAACAATAACAGGAAGGAATATCTTGATTTACAATCATGTAAATTAAGATATTCCTTCAATAATTCCTTAAATAAATGAGGAATTGAGGGCAAAAACTATTTATTAATAAAATAAAATAACTTAATCAAACAATAATTAAAATCAATACTGAGCTATTATAAATTTCTGTTTAATGTTTGAAATTATTTTTTATATTGCAATATGTATGTACAATTTTTGATGTCAAGATAAAAATCTATAAAGTAGAAGAACATATCTAATGTTCTCTGTATATATGTTCAGTTATCATTGAAAAAGCCATTCCATCCATAATAAATAGTTCGCCATAAAATAAATAAATAAAATAAATAAATAATGAAATGAATGAAATTTCACATTTAATACACATTCAGTTTGTGTCTAGACAAGTTAAATAATGATATGTTAAGTTAAGAAACTTACTTTATGACATCAGCTTGTTCAGGAAAACACATAGACAATGTTAAAGGGCCTCTTTCATTTTTATATCCAACACATTGTGGTGCAGAAAATAATGTTGGACTGTCCTGGACATGGTGACAAGCTTTGACCCAATCTTTACCATTTCTGAGGTGGATACCCAAGAAGCCACCCCCACTCATATATTTTTTTATGAACAGCTTAGATCTACTGACAAGGTCGCCATTCCATGTCATATATTTTTGTAAAATCAGATTTTCCTTCTGAACAGGAAAACTTGCAGGAGCCCCTGAAAGGCAAAACTTTAATTGACAATCCCCCATGGACAATAAATAATAAGTCCAATCCAATAATGGAAAATGCTAAATTTCTAAACAATAAATACCTGTAAAAGCTAAAACTGGCCAGGTATCGGAAGAGTATTTTAGTTTCCATTTCTCCATCATTACCACATTGTGAGCATCATAGTTCAAAGGGCCATAAAATTCAGATCCAACAAAATCTATATTAAATGAATCCCAAAATGGTCCAAAAGGATTACCAGATTTTGCATTACAACTTGTACCCTCTTGACCTCTTTTTGTATAACAGAATGATATTCTTTTATCTTTTGGCCAGAGAGTAGATGCAATGTGTTCCATAAAATAATTCATAGTAATAACGCTGTGATATTGTTTCAATAGATCAACCCTAAAATAAGTGTCAAAAGGAACTTGTACAGATTTTGATTCTCCGAATCGGTACTCAATCCATGGTGGAAGGATAAGAGTTCTGTTTACACCTTTACTAAATGCCAATGCACCTAAAAAATGATCAGCTTGATTCCCAAACCTCCCTGAAAAGAAAATAATTAATTTCAATTTGTTTGGTTGCCTCTGAATTACACAGTTAGAGTTTATAAAATTAACAATGCCGGTACAGACCCATACAAGGACAGTACGCAATATAACCATTTTTATCATACTTCAAAGTAACAGCCCGTGACAATATTAGTAAGGAAATAAATAGAATGGATTTGGGCATATTCTAAGAAATTATATATTGCTAAACCCATCAAATTACAATAAATAAACTTTAGGAATGAAAAAATAAGTTTCAAAAGTTGGCAGTTTGGTACCGCAAACCACAGAACACCAATATCCTAGCGCAAACACAGCAGTGTTGCCAACACAACTAGGACTAGAATGTGCTCAACTGCTGTAAAATTATTATTAACTCATTCAAATCCTACTTTCTTTCTTTGTAAATGTTTCCTTCTCCTACACTATGTTACTTGTGACAGTTTGCCCAATACGTTGCTTTTTTTATGTATATGTACAATGTTTGATTACGTACATTTATTTAATATGTATTATATATGTATTCATATGTATGTATATTTATGCATTATATATTAGTACTTCATTTCTGAAAACCCATTTATGTGTACGTTCGCTGATATCTATTAGGTTGTTCGGAAAATAATTTCGTTTTTTTCTAACTTAGGATTTAATTGTCTTTTTTGCACTCCACACTTCACTTCATTCACTTCACTTCACACTTAACCAGTATAATTTTTATGTTTTGAGAACTCATATAGCAAGGCTTGTGTGTGAAAAATTCCAATTAATTCTACGCAGTAGTTTTTGGTTGGTGCCCTTTTAAATATGGAGAGGAATAAGCAGCATTTTCGACATATCTTACTGTTTTACTACAGAAAGTGCAAAAATGCTGTTCAAGCCAGAAAGAAATTGACCGATGTGTGTGGAGGTGTGTGAACCTGTGATGTGAACTGTACGCCAGTGCCAGAACTGGTTCGCTAAATTTCGATCCGGCAATTTTGATGTCGAAGATGCACCACCCTCGGGAAGGCCGGTTGAAGCTGATAAAGGCATAGGTTGATGCGAACCGGCGAATTGGATCAATTTAACTATTTAAGAATTATCAGCAATTACTTAAATTTCAAGTCAGAATCTAATACAAAATTACATAAGAATGATGATGTTTTGATGATAGATGAACATCGTTTATGAAATTATAGATATATGAAATTTTGATATTAGTCTATATAATATCGATGTTTTAACATTGAATGAATGTCATCGCGTTCCATACTATCGATCTCATCATAGACAAAAATTCGAAATGCAAAACGATATGGTATGAAATAGTCTTATCGGCATTTTTCTGATATTGTTCACCACTTATAATCAAAACCATTCAACCAATTCTGTCTTGTAAATCTCTATTTATGTAGTTCGTAAAATATACCAAAATTCTCGTAACATTGGGTTCCAACTTTTTCCGCTACTGCCGAGAAGCTGGCTTTTGTAGTGCGGAGCGTGTACGGTTCTGTATGGCCGACTCAGATTTTCAAGTTTGTCGTCCACATTGCAGTAGCCGAAATCGCATCCTCTATTTTGATGCGTCTCTTTCACAGTAGGCAGAAGTGGAGGACCTTGGAAGTTTGCTTCACGCGTTGAGGAACTATAGCGGCTTGCAGGGTTGTTGGTGGGTTTTAGGGAGTAGGAATCTCAATGACACATCCATTCAACTCCTGGGATAGACTGGTCTCCAAGATAAATTTTCGTCACATTAAAAAAACAGGGTTGCCAACCTTAAAACATTTAGTCTCGTACAAAGGACTTAAAAATCGATTATTTTGGCTCTGACTTAATACATCTTTCTATTCGTATAACAAGAACTAATATATGTAGGTCAAGATATAGTTGACAGTACATACTGTCGTTTTTCTTATTTGGGTCTCTTTGGCGTCTTACGGACCTTTTTTAACTTCAGGCCTATTGTTATTAGTCCACTAGCAACACCATATCTTTCTTTCACTTTGTTAACCATTTGTGCGTCAAATTGTTAAAATATATTTTCGTAAAAATGGTGTGTTAAATCTCTTTAAATCATACTAATCTTTATATATAAAGCTTTTTAATTATTTTGAGAAATAATCTGAATTCAATCTAAGTTCAAAATACATATATATTTTTTTTGGTTATAATACTTTTTTTTAATTGTGCTCTTGTTCTCCAATACCTTGTTTTATATTTATTAGTTGATGATTGTATAAACTTAATATTAAATTATATAATAGACTTAGTGATGTTTAATAAATATACATTTAAATAAAAACATACTAAATCATTAACCTTTTTAGTTCTAGTCCCATTATGTTATTTGCTGCAGTGTATCAACATTTATACGCATTAATTCTTAATAGTTGATTACTAATGTTTTTACCATATGTTAACGTAGGAACATCAGTGAAATAACAAGCTGGTTAACACTATATTAAACATTCTTAACATCCACCTTCATATCATCAATGGTGAATTTACCAATAGTTGATCTTAATGATTTCCAGTTTGTGCAGCTCGTTGAGGTCGACCAGACGCAGTTTTTTTTATTAATAATGGGTGGCCCAATTACTTAGGATTCTCTCCCTCTAATTAATCTCCCATTTTACAGCATACTGTGTTGCTTACAGTTTTATTGTGTTGAAGTTATTATAATTCTACTTACAGGGCAAGGTTAAGTGCTCAGAGCTGCGAACAAAAGATAAAAAGGAGCTTTTTAAGCAACTAGATGAGCTCAAGACAGAACTCACCAATCTTCGTGTTGCTAAAGTTACTGGAGGTGTGGCCTCAAAGTTATCAAAAATGTAAGTTGTTATAGTTATATTGTGTCTATTAACCACACTGCAAATCCTTGAAAAGTTCATTTTCTTTTAAAATAGCATATTTCAGGCAGAAATGCAGATAGGTATATGTCATTAATTTCACAATTTTTTCATGCGCATTCTGAAAACATGTCTTTCAAACAGTGAAATTAATTCTTAAATCTAGTGGATCCACAAAAATACAATACACATATTTTTATTATTATGAATCAATAAAAATAATTTTATTGATTGCAATTATGTATAACAAAAACTAAATTTCCAATTAGATATTATAGTACAGTGGTTACCAATTTGTTTTTGCTGCATACAACTTTAAAAAAAACCTCCAACCTTGCGTATCCCTTATTCTAGAAATTACACTACTATAAATGTGAAAGTTTCTGAGTGTGTGTGTGTGTATGTTTGTTTTACTGATAGCCGCACATACCCCTTGATGCAACTACACATATCCCAGGGGTATGCATACCACTAATTGGGTATCATCACTATAGTAAATTTCATTCTAAATATTGAAGTCCATATAGACATATTTTAACTGCTATAAAATTAGTTTATGGTTGCCATTAAAATCCGAGCTAAAGTCTACAGTTGGTTCAGAATCAAACAATTTCATTTGGTGTAAAATGATTCATAAATTTATGTACACATTCGTTTTGTTCAATTAGTAATAAATATAGGGTGCAATTCATTTTATGTGTTATTGTTATAAAAACAATTTGTGATATTTACCAAAGTGTGCACTTATTTTTTTATTATTTTAAAATGTTTTTGTTTAGTAAAATTTGTGATGACTGATTTGTAGTTATATTTATTTAAAGAACAAACCATCAAAGTACATGTTACATGCCATCAAAGAAATTGCTTAAATAAATAGTTTACATGTTTTATGCACACTTTATTTTTCCTCTTTTAAATGTTTCATAATACAATAGAATAATAATAAAACTTTCTTCTACACTAAAAAAAAAATTACAAAAAGAACACTACATAAATATGCTTTGGAGACTCCAATCACTAAGAGCAAGCTGTTTTAGAGATGAATAAATTCAGCTTAAAAGTGCTGCCTTTACCTATCATATGATGAAATAACTTTGGTCAATGAAAAACTGAGAGTTTAGAAGGCAGAGTCAGTGGTATAATTATTACAATAGTGCTTGCATCTCAAGCAGGAATGTTTGATGCTTGTCTTTTGACAGGTTAGGTAAAATATATATACCATACCTGTTTTTACAAGCTTTTATTTAGTTTCACCTGTCCCATTGTCTATCTGTAATAAAATCTTGCAAGTTAAGTTTTTTGCATGCATGTATAAATCGGATGACAATGCAATATTATAACAATGATAAAGGATATTATAAAATAAACAAAGTAATTAAACTATGCAACCCCATCGAGTTTATTTATTTATTTACGTCACACTAAGTGAGCTTTACAGTTTCCCAATATGCCCACTTAGGAAGATTGTATATATATACACACACTTATAAAACACTAGTTATTAATACATACACTAATTACACAAGAAAAAAATAAAATAAAAATAATAACAATAATAATAATCTTACTTTTCCATACTACTTAAATAATCTACTGCCATCCTACGAAACTCCAGCAAATTACTAGTAAATATGTCTAGATCCGGAAAACGACTAACAACACCGTTGAGTAGACTCAATGCCAGAATTTAGGTTCCTTTGATTCATCTTGATGAGTTTTTTTTTTTTATTATTATTATTATTTTTACTTAAAACAAATTCTCATCTCTCCTCTTAAGGAGAGGAGATGGCAACTTACCCCCGGCAGAAGCACAGTCGGCTGGGGTTCAAGGCCCCAGGGGAGAGAAACCGGCGTACAATGCGGGCAGAATCTAAGAGCCCCACTTTCTGCATCTTTCCCGGGAGTGAGCCGCCTCGGAATCCCAACTGTCTGGGATGTTGTTCCAGACTGGTTGGGATAGGACCTTTCACCGACATAACGATTGGAATGATTTCGGTAGACATCACCCCCCACATTCGGTCACCTCGTGAGCCAGGCCGAGATATTTTCTCTTTTTCTCTGTTTCGGCTTTCACGAGGTTCTCGTCAAGCGGTATGGTGATGTCCACCAAAAACAGCCTCGAGAGTGCCCGATCCATCACCACGATATCAGGTTTGTTCGCAAGAACAGTCCGTGATGATGATCGGTCCCAGTAGAGCCTGACGCTGTCGCTTTCGAGGACCGGCTGGGGCTCGTACTTATAGTACGGCAACCTCTCATTCGCGAGGCCGTACTTCAGGGCTAGTTCTTGATGGAGTATCTGGATGTGTCTGTGAAAGTACTCAGTGTTGACAAGAGCTGAACAACCCGAAAGCACATGTCTGAGTGACTCTCCGGGATGGCGACATGCCCGACAGATGTCCTCAGTGCCATCCTTCAGAATGTGCTTTCGGTAATTGTTCGTCTTAACCACCTGATCCTGTATTGCACAGACAAAACCCTCGGTCTCTCCGAAGAGATCACCGAACTGTAGCCAGTGCACGGAGGTTTTCGTGTTGACATACGGCCCGTGAAGGGCTTTGAAGAACCTTCCGTGCAACTTCTTCTCTTTCCATACGTCCTCTCGCTGCACATTCTATGACCTCTCTATGCAAACCCTCGTCTCTTTTCTCCAGAAAATATGTCCTGAGTCTGTCAATCTCGCGATTGTGCATGGTCTTAACGCTTAACAAGCCTCAACCACCAGCCTTCCGCGGGATGTACAGCCTCATAACTGATGATTTCGGGTGATGCATTCTATGGAGGGTCATAGTTGTGCGGACTTTCCGATCCAGGGCTTCGAGTTCGGTATGAGATCATCTGAGCACTCCAAAAGTGTAGAGGAGTACGGGTATGACCCAGCCGTTATATGCTCGGATATTAGTGGCATCCGACAAGGAACTTTTCAGTACTCTTGTAAGGCGCGCGAAATTTCTTCACGGACTGACTGTTTCATATCTGTCTCTCTCACACCGATGTTTTGTGACATGCCCAGATACCGGTATGTTTCAGCCTCGGAGAGGGTTTTGATATTGGAGGGATCTGTAACGATCCCTTCAGTTTGAGTGACCCGTCCCCTCTGCACATGGAGGACCGCGCACTTATCTATTCCGAGTGCCATCCTAACAGAGCTTGCTATAATCGTTTACAATATTTAAAAGCTCCATCAGGCGTTCGACGCTCAGAGCTAGTAGTTTCAAGTCATCCATGTACAGAAGGTGAGACACTCGTGTACCTCCTCTCCGATACTGAAATCCAGTCCCCGAATTCTCCAGTAAAGCACTGAGAGGATTCAGGGACAGGCAAAACCAAAGTGGACTCAAACAATTGCCCTGAAATATTCCCCTCTTAATCTCACTCTGGTCAGCGGTATCCATCAATCGCTCGCCCTGGATAGTCAGAATCGTCGTCCATTGCCCCATGCATGTCTCCAGGAACACCCGAACCGCACTGTGGATCTTGTACAGCTCGAGTATCCTCCGGAGCCATAAGTGGGGCAGGGAATCGAACGCCGAATTATTATTATTATTACCTTCTATACCGTACATACCGCTCACAAGTCAGTCTAATTACCATTTATCCCTGAATAGCTAGAAATTTATACAGCAATAGTAGTATGAATTTCAGAATTAATAACAAGTTAATTTTTTAATTTTGTATCAATAAAAAAAATGTCATTAGAAGTATCTTGAATTTAATTCTTTTTTCAGCCGAGTTGTGCGAAAAGCTATTGCACGAGTATACATTGTATACCATCAGAAAATGAAGGTGAATCTTCGCCAGCACTATAAGAATAAGAAGTACAAGCCTCTAGACTTGAGGCCCAAAAAGACGCGTGCAATGCGCAAAGCTCTCACTAAACACGAAGCAAAAATCAAAACCAGGAAAGAGATAAGAAAGAAGTCACTATTTCCTCCAAGGGTCTATGCTGTTAAGGCTTAAATAAATTTTTAATAATTTTATGATTTTTTATTTGCAGCATTACATTTGATATATAGATTATATTATATTATTATATTATATATAGATTACATTGAATCATTACAAGTCGAAACCAACGTAAAAAATAAGCTCAAAAACTGAAACCCGATTTAGTATGAAACAAAAAGTACCTATTCTCAACTAAATTTTTTACCTGTGGTGCTCATATGTTTCAATGTAGTACGGTAAAAACAGTTAACCCATATTTAGGATAATGTTTAAGTTACAAAATATATGAATATTGTTGATTAAAAGAACTATAAATACATAAAGTAGGTTTACACGGAAATTATTTAAAATTTCAATCATAACGGATTTTATTTTTGATTAAATGCTGCTTTTAAAAAAATCTAAATGCTTATTGACAAAAATACATATTTATTTGAAATAAAGACACGGTAGAGTAAAATTATCCTATGTAATATTCATTACATAGAGCTAAGCTTGAAATCTATATTAATAATTCCGTCAAGGGTACGGTAGACTCGAACGAAACCTTATGTGAATAACAAAACATAAAAATATATTGATTTCGATTCGACAACATATATCCGCAAAATTCGGATTATGGAGTATTTCGTTAAATTCTAATGACACTGATAAACAAACTGCAGTCGCCATCTTTTACTGTCACTAGCTAACAACCAATCAACATTACGCGTGCGTTCGTGCCAAAGATCCATCACAAAGAACTGTGGCATGTGACATGTGTCGTTGACGTTTCGCGAAAATATAGTTTTTGACACTTTTTATGATAAAAGAGTATACAGTTATGTGTTTTTTCTTTAAATTTGCCAATTGCGAGACAAAATTGACAATATTTTTTTATTAATTTGTTTCACGGCTCTTTTTAGCCCAACTTAAAGTTTTACAATATAAATTCCAAAAATTAAAGTCTATGTCTAATGTTTTTTTTAATAAGTTCATCAGAACAGAGATACAACATCTCTGTTCTGATGAACTTATTAAAAAAAAACTTAATAACAATTTCTTCACATTTTATTATTACACACATAATGCCAGGTATTTGCATTTTTTAAATAAGGTTTGGCACAATTGGAAATTAATGTTATTTACCCATTTCTATAGGTTATACGGAAATAATGTGTTTATTTAAAAAGCATTAACACAAAATTAATAAAGTATAGTTAGGTATTAATAAATAGATAAATATATGGTTGTTGTATGTAAGATAATACAACATATATTCATCACTAATATTCGCTAAAAATGAATCTGGAATGTGGTCATTTCCTGGAGATGAATCTTTCGTATGAGACAGAACGGTTTTAAGTTCCGTAAATGTAAAAGGACTGTCAAGAGCTGAAGAGTTTATATTTTTATTGGTGGAAAGTGGCCGCGTTATGGAATCCATATGAGATACGTAGAGTGGTACTAAACGATCTAGAAACTCGTTAGCTGTAGTCTCTGATAATGTAAAAAAAAGAGAATCTTGGAAAGCAGATCTGTATCTTTTTATATTACGCCATACAAGGGAAGGATGAGTATGAGGCGAAATAGAAGAACAGAAACGTTTCCATCCTTCTGACTTCTTTTTCTGTAAAAGTTTCCGGGTGGAGGCTAGTAGGGCTGATAGATTGGTAAAGTTTTCTGAAGTCATATCATTACAATATAATCTTTCTGCCTGTTTCCTGTATTTAATAGCTGTAGTACATTCGTGGTCCCACCAAGGCGGAGAAGGAATTTTACTATTATTATGTTTGTTTACAGGAAAAACTTCATCTTAAATCTTCTTCAACTATCTTCAACTTCACTTTAAATATATTGCCACAACCGATATGAACAGAAATATTTTGTAATATTTCATCTGGACTCCAATCACTCGGAACATCTCATACCAGACCCATACGTGTAATATTAAATGTTGGTATAAAAGCCTGTAATTTGTAATCATTTAAACTGTTATGATTAATGAATGTATTAGCATCATGGTAAACTGAGAAAGATGATGCAATTTTATTTCGTGCGTCAATGCGTTTTACACTTCCATTAATAATGTTTTTAAAATACTGTTTTTTGAGGAATTTACCAAATGTCACAAGGTGAAGTGTAGTACCGTCATTTGGAGACTTTTCTTGTCTTACTTCATGAACTAAGTATGGGGCATGGTCTGTGGGTTCATACATTTTCCTTCCTACTGGTTCAGAAATATTATTAATTTCATTTGTTTCTTTAGATCTGGATGGATGAGGGGGATCTAAATTTACAGATTGTGGAGTGGAAATCACTTCCGTGAGAGGTTTTTGTATTTCATTGCCATCATTTATGTCATCGGTACAGTGGCAATCTGTAATTTTATCTGAAGAATTTCTTCTTCTCCGTTTATTACAACTTTTACAAAATCTTTGTAACCGACTGCGTTTTATTGATCGGTTTGAACAAGACGTATCGGTTTCCATACCCGATTCGCATGAAATTGTAACATAGAAGCCGAAGGGATGAATCCCCCCGGGTCGGGGGGATCGTCCATAGAAATGAAAAAACGAAAAACTTACCAATAAAACAGCTAACTATATATACAAACTAAATAATAGATATTAAGGAACTAAATACAGTATCACAATCACTAAATAATGAAAAATAAGTATAAAATTTAAATCAAAAGAAAAAACGCGCCTTACCAAGTTTAACGTTTCCCGCCTTTTTTTTCTTTAAACCTGAAATTGGCCGATTGCGAGACAAATTTGGCATTTTTTTTTATTAATTTGTTTTACGGCTCTGGATACAAGTCCTTTTTAACACAAATTAAAGTTTTACAAAAAAATAATAATTATTTGTATAAAAACTTTTGCACTTTTTATTTACTTCACAATTAACAAAGCTTTACAAATCTATGCCTTGTTTACTTTTAATATTCCATGAGAGAATTCCTTATCGGTTCTCATGGAATATTAAAACTACAGAAATATCTACCCACATTTCACCCGAGCGAAGCCGGGTTTTCATCTAGTTTAAATATAATTTCGCTATTCTCCTCGACGTGATTTAATACAGGTACAATTCTATTTAGTTTGGTACATAAATTTTATGAAGGGAATTTCTAATTACAATATTTATCTATTGTTATACCTAGAAACTAATTACTGTGAACCGATTTTACGCAAATATTCATAAAAAAAAATTAAGTAATTTTCTGCTAAGTATAAAAAAATTCACCCCATCAGGTGTGTTTTTTTAATGTATGTTTGGGAAACTACGCTCTGCTACCAAAATGTTAGGGAAACTACTCTCTGCTACCAAAATGTTAGGGAATTTACTATGTCTGTCACGTACCTGTATGGTTCTGCGGATTACTTGTGCTTCAGGGTCTCGAAGGTATCTTCGCTAGCTTTCCAGTTTCACAGTAGGTTTAACACAGTTCTAATTTATTTTAATTCACAACATAATGCGCGCGCGCGTCAAGGCCGCTGTACAGTCCGTTTGTTACTAGGTAAGGGAGGGGCGAAGGAACTGCGCGGGAACACAAACTAACGGACTCTAATATAATAATCTGTGCTTACGATGATACCGGGTAGATTTTGAACATAGCTAACACGCTCTAAACAGCTATGATGTTTACGAAACAAATTATCAAAATCAAGGGAAAAATTACAAGCTAAAGGGGCTATACAATATATTACTCAATAGGGAGGCGTACCAGTTTTGTAAGAGAACGTTTTAAGGAACCAGTAGAGGTTTTGACCTCGATCACTCGAATTACACCGTCTTGACCAGGAAATAACTGTAGGTACTATACGTCCGCGGCGCCACTCCAAAGGAGGGAAGCGGTCTAGGTGTATTAATAGTCTTAACACAAATAATTTTATGGTAAATAAAGGGATATGTATTATTCATTGAGCTCCTGTTCTGTTTTAGTGTTAGTAAAGTGACGGCAATGGTTAGCTCAACATTGTTAGGTTGAAAATAAAATGCACTTTCGTTTAACCGTAGAAACAATATGAAATATTCAGTATCTATATCGGTTTACATCAAAAGAACTAAAGTCAGCCAACCTCTTTTTTATTCTTTCGAATTTGAATGGTTTCAACAGACAGATGGCGAAAGATAATAAAAAGAAAGAAATGTTTAACACTATTTTATCAACCAATGTCATTTTATAAATTTACATAGTAATATTATAGATAGTACTTGTATGCTTTGATGGTCTCGTGGTATAGCACACTCCAGTAAGTAGTAATACTGGTCGCAAGTTTGATACCTCGCAGGGTAGAAACATTTGTATTCAGTAGTATGTTTGTTTGTATTGTTGGATGTTTTGTATGGTATATATTTACAAAAGAAATGTATAGGTATACTTATTTGGTATTAGTATCAGTTGTGTAGTACACATAACGCAAGATTTGGGGGAGGAAGGGAACTGTTAGTAATGTGAATTAATAACCTCATTGCTAATAATGTACCATGTCAGATTGACCTCCACGCGGTTCTCCTTAGAAACCATCGTAATAAATTCCTGGTGATTTCGTCACGATGGGCTAACTAAGCTGACCTCATGCTCCTCTTGTCACACTCCATGATGTCCTGCTGTAATGTAACATTCCATTATCATCAATAAAAAAAACACAGCTTTGCTTAGCTGAACTAGGTAGCGCTGCGTGCATTGTCCAGCGTTACTATTATTATTATCTAACTTACTTGTACTTAGGTACTTCTTGTTTTTATTAGACATCGTGTTTTTATTGGATGAAAGATAGCCTATGTCGCCACCTTCGCTTTTTATCGTAACTTTCCAACTACTAGGTACCTAAAGGACAAAGTTTATCTACTTTAAACAACAGAACCGATAAAAGTACTTATTTTTATATTTTATTTACTGTAAATTACACTACAGATACAGATACACAGGCCAAATTAAATATTTTTATAGTTCACTATCTTCGTTGACTTCCACATACAATATAGTGTATGCCGTCTATTACGGACTTTTTAGTGCCATGTAAGAGAAATAATCCCAGCATACATCAAAATTTATTTAATGTATGCAGCGGACGGAAACGGATCTCATATTTTTTGTCAGAAGTTTTATCATCTTACAATTCGGCCATTTTATAAAATATTTTTCTAAATTATAGCCTCTGTTATTTTGATGTATAATCTATATTACAGTAGTCTGATTAAAATGCATTCAGATTTTGCGGAAAAGATCCAAGATCCATCGATATATTTTTTTTTTCTGACTAGGTAGGTACTTTCGTTTTATATCCCAACCGTATTGGGCAGCCTTTCTGATGAAAGCTTCTGCGGGTGTCCAGACCGTTTGATTTTTATAACTTCATTTTTAAACCAATTTTACATAAAACTAAGGAATTATAGACATAAGTTCTCCTCACGAATTAAGCTGTTGGTAAAATTGAATGAAAATCTGTTTAGTAGTCTTTGATCACAACAATAATAAAATGTTAACTTTTACATTTGTTACTAAGAAATTGCATTTTTTATTCACCAATGGATAATATAGGGATTTCTATATATATACAACAAATAAAACACAAATTAACCATAAATTTATAATAACAAACTCGGTGTAAAGAGTAGGTGCTTACAATAAATTATTCAATTAAAGCAATGCCATTACATTATTTATTATTATTGTTTCTGTTGTATGTAAATATATATAAATATTGCCACGAAATAATAGTTATGTAATTAAAAGGGCAAATGACACGAGATGTACCGTCTCAACGGTAGATAATTATTATCACTTATGAGTAAAATACAAAAATACGTATTGTCTTATCAAGTTACGGCATTAAATAGCTATATTGACTGCACAATTTTAAAAATTGTCCCAGGGGCTGTAAGCTCTTTTTATAAGTAAAATAAACGTAAAATGCGAGTTAAACTCGCATATCAAGGATTCAGAAAAAATAAATATGTTAAACAGGAAAGTAACCCTGTTTCCTTTATATTATAAATTATTTAAGTATATATAATATATATATTTTTTTTTTTTCATACCTACTTAAATACCATATAATACAAATATGTATTATAATATCTCAATGTTTAGAACTTATATGTTATTCATATTAAAAATTTTTGTTTTACATAATGTGGACAAAATGTATTTATATTTGTTTGCTAACGTTTTTTCATGAAATTACGTAACTACGTAGAAAATTGTTCTATACTAGCCAAGTTCACGACTTCGTATCGGATGTAAGAATTCTAAATAACAATAGTTTAGTTTATTAAATAATGTCATTCCGAATAAATCCAATATATTATAAATATATAAAATAGTCTACTATTATTTTAGTTTAAATTTATAACACAGTAATCAGTGGCATTTTTTTTATATGTTAGTATAGATTTTTCTGTAATATTTACATGTTTCATCAACTGTAATCAATAAAACGAAAACTACGGGGCATAAAAAATTTTTTTTGGAATGTATAGATAAATACTACAAATTTGAATAGCATGTATGTATAATTACAAGTATATTATTTTGACCCCAATCTAAATATTCACTCTAATTATACATTTATTTTATTTGGACCAACAGTATATAAACTAAAACATTTTGAAATTATTTCATTGAGGTGATAGACCGTAAAAAATCGTCTGCGTAGATATCTCACTTATTTCAGCCGCCAAGATTTCAGATTAGGCGGTGAAATTACAGTACAAGAGATATGACATTTTAGTGCCTTAGAATAGCAAAGTAAAAGTACCACTCTTGTCACGCGGGTGTCACATGATAATGTGATTTCCGTGGTGCTATTCATGTATATAGGGCATCTTTATCGCTTACTTTCCGGTAATCCGTCAGCGTGTTTGCCAAATACGAAAAATTCGAAATACATTTAAGAAAATCCAGACGTAGGAACAAAGTCGCACTCAATCATTATGATCAAACAAAATTTATTGTATTAAAAATAAATCATTAAGAGTACCATAGTAGTTCTTACATGAAAGAGAAGACTAAAATGTGTAAAAAAAACATTTTATGTCTATGTTACCATTATCTATATTTTTCACATGACCGCCACCTATTAATTCTTGAATAGTGGGGGCTGGGATAACCCTGAGAACATATCAGGTGTTTGTGTACTTACACCAGCTGCTAGCTTTATCCGCGGGAAATATAGTCTGGACTTAATTCGATTTACCTTATATACCAATACCAATCCATTGTATATGTAAATATAAAGATATAGATAATTAATTACCTAATTAATGATAGCCATCACATTTTAGATAATTCAATTCTTGTATGATTTATCAGTGTTTAGACTACTAGGTGCGTACGTATTTCAAACAAATGTTATAATTTCAGTTACAAAAAAAGCTTGCTGTGTAATAGTATCTACAGATACATAATCAAAAGCAAAATTATCAGTTCATTATTTATGTTATAATATATAAATAAGAATCTTTTATTTTTTATAATATACCATATTTATATGTGTAATTAGTAAAACAATTTTAGAGGTTAAGATCTTGGTACTAAAAAGGTTGAGTAACAGTATAGGCCGTTAAATGTGATGAATGTTATAAATTCGACTACATATAACTGTTTGTTTGTGGAGGGTTACTGATAAAAGGATTTTACTGTGAAAGTTGTCGTGTGGGGCAATGTCGAAACTAATATTCGTAATATCATGTCTGATGTGTACAAACACGATATACGAAAACACATACCCAAAATTATAAAAAGATGTTCTTACAAAATAACCGACACCAATAACTATAAAAAAATTGGGGCAAATCTGAAAGTAGCCCTTTCAAATCGGTTTAAAAATCACAGAGTTATGAAGTAGCAAACATTAAAAAAAAACAAAACAAAATAAACCGTATTGTCAATTGTCAACAAACTCCTACTTTTTGTTGTCGGTTAAAAATCGACAAATTCGTTTTTTTATTGCGTTTAGTGCGATATGTATCTACAGGCGCATGAAGTCGCAGCCGAAGCTATTATATATTAGAAATATAGTAATACTTTTTAATTTGGCAGAACGATAACAAATAAGGTGACAGTGGTATTAAAATAATATACTGATCCTAAGAAAGATAACGTTATGTATGTATAGGACTGTGAAGCGGATTAAGCTATGGATACACGGAACGATTCATTATAGGCTATTAAATACGACAGTTATTTATTTTCTTCGTGGATATCAATTATTTATAGCCTTTCACTACACAATATAATATACGGTTTAACTAAACAGTTATAACGGCTTCACAAATTATGCATAATGTAAAACGAAATATTATTTACTATAGATACAACTAAGAAATAATTTCATAGATAAACTACGAAATAACATTTTGGTATAAAGCGCTTTATAAATAAGCGATTAGAGGAATATAATAATTAAAAATAGCTCATTTCTTCATTTAATAAGAACTATCTATTAATTGATTTGGTAGATGTGGACGAGTATCAATGGTAGTATTTATAAAAATAATACTACCTACTTATTACAATTAATAACAGCGTTCTAGGAACGTTTCTGCGCCCATTTCATATCATCAGCACGAGGTTTACATCCTGTTAAAGCTTCAATAATAGTTTCTAAAATGGACCAAAACCGAAGTTTCTCCAGAGGCCAGTTCAGCCAGCCGGTGGTAATACAAAAGTAAGTCTCGTGCGGCGCGACGTGGTGGATGCGGTGATGACGCCGCGGTAGTACTATGTGCCATTCCTGTAACCACACTACCCACCAAGGCAGTCCAAAGTACGTGTGCGACCATTTGTGAATCTGAAAATACCAGTTTATAAGGAATCCAGTAGCAAGCTTCGTGAAGGGAAATATAATGTGCATATATTTATAAAAAATATAAAACATTATAACATGTTCTTGTTATTTTAACACAATTATTTCTCTTATTTGACCTTTTGAGCTTTTCGGTTGTTATATCTATTTATTACATACTAGCTGTGCCCGCGGTCTCCCTCGCGTTAAATTTCAATAAAAAATATAGCCTATGTGTTATTCTGATGCATAAGCTATATTACTGTAAAGTTTTTGCGTGAAAGAGTAACAAACATCCATACTTTTGCGTTTATAATATTAAGATATATAACTGGAAAGGAAAAGAGATGATTGATGATACTTTCTTACCTGATTTGTCAGTGCCACGAATATACAACATAGATACCAATATGAAATCCAGTGGAACTCTTTCTCAAGGTTAACATTATCATATGTCAACAGCTGCCACACTATACGCGCAAGCACAGGTATTGTTATGGCAAAGTTGTCACCATTTGTTTCCACAAAATCATGGCGGGTAATTGATGTAGGATCAATGTGATGTTCACGAAATGGACGTAGGAAATTCTGAAAGAAATCAGTTAGAATATGATGATATTTTTTTTAAGTACATCAAGATTATTTTTTAATTGCTATACATTAATATGGTTAAACACTTATTAAGAATATCTGGTACCTCACGAATATATCTAATTTGATGCGCAAATAATACAATTCTTAGAAAGTGGGTGAAAGGCATTAACTTTACTTACGTTTTCTATTATATCAAACAAAGACTATATTATCTCGAATAAAAGATAAGGCTGTGAATATATCTAATCTACACCAGGTACTGAAAAGTATAAACACACCCAAAACTCCAATTCTCTACATTGCTTTGTTATAGTGATCACATTCTTGGGCTACTTATACGAACATAAACAGCACATAAGAATTTTAAATATTTGAATGAGTTAATTATTTTTGCAGTTGCGTGTACGTATCTATATAAACGCATGGGTAATCTTAATTCTTATGTCTAATGTGATGTGATGTGACCAAATTCTGTTTGCTCGTATGTCATCAATGAAAACAGAATGTGGTCAGACATTTCATCCGTAATTTCAATGAATTCTTGAATATGCATAGCATTTATCAAAACATACAAACAACATTGGGGGAGAATATTGTAAGTACTAGTCTTATTGCTATCAATATCTGTCATATCGACTTTCGGGCGCTTCCCTCTGGAAACCCCATCATGGGTTATTCCTGGTGAATTCATCAAGATGATTAACCTAACTTTATCACCATTCCATGATCTTCCACTGGTGCCCCGCCAGCGTAAAAGAGTAATGCAGTCGGATGCGAAAATTTGCTACTATCCCCAAATCTAAATAATGGTGAGAGTAAAGTGTTTACTCACCTTATAACAAACAAAATTTATGACCTATAAGTATAACGGAATAACACATGTATCATTTACAAATTATAACAATAATTACTTAGTCATAAATAAAAATGTGAAACCACATTGTGATATGAATTCACAGGTGCAGAAGTTCTCATGGAGTGGGAAATTTTACCTACATTTACACCTGTCATTTAATGCACTTAAAACTGAAATTAATGGCATAAATAACTGTGTAATAAGTTATGATCCTAGTAATCATAATAATCAATTGTATTATTGTGTTAAATCGTCTATGAGAAAAGTTTTACGGAAGAATAATGTTTTTCTAATCAGCAAGCAAAATGGACGCAAGCAAATTTTTGCAATGACTTCAATTTGTATCGCATGCTTTGCTTTTAAATAAATACAATAATTCGGTAATAAAATAAACACACAAAAAACAAACAAACAGTTTTGTTAGAAAATAATTAGTAAATTCAGAGGATAATATCAGCGGATTAACGTGGAAAAGAAGATTTAACATCCAAAAAACAAGCCACAGAAGGTATTCATTGATGTAAACATTTTTCATAACAAATCGGCCGAAAATGATGCTTTTTGGCACAATTCAAAATCTTTAATATTAAATTTATTTCTAATGATAATTGATAGTTCTACGAAAGCTTAAAAAGTGTTATTAAATTTCGATCTACGTTTCTAGGACAATTTTTTATTTATTTGTGTATTTAATTTTCAACGCGACGTTTACCCACCAGAAATTAAATATTTGATTATGAAATACATAGGCAAAAGTATGTTATGCATGCACGCGTCACCATGTCGTCATAGAAGCCCAAAAGCTGACCATATTTGTTATATATATATATATTGTATCTTATCTATTTATTCTATTCAATAAATCATATTTTTTCACTCCTGTTCTATGATCAAAATGCTATAATACTAAGGTAATGTTATATTGATCTCTGCACATCTACATATATGTTCGTGCTGTCGTTCGCCTCTGGAAGCTAATTCAGTTCCAATAAGTACATATCGCACCTTTTACTCCTGAATTCCACACTAAATTTCGCAACGTATTAAATAATTTCATATTTCGTCTAATGAAAAAACTAGCTGACATTATTATCGATTTATTCAGTTAAGTCTTGATAAAGCTTCAAAAAAGGAAATCAAAACTGAATTGGATTAAAATCGATATGGTAATGAAGAATTCAAAGCAAGTTGCTTCTTTTTCAATTGAGAGTAACTTTAATTATTTTAATGTACAACGGAGCATTTAATATTGAAGATTTGCCTATCTATACTATACGAATAATGTTTTAAAATAAAATTAAAAATATAAACCTTAAAGCAATAAAAATCGTAGCATGTACGTAGGAAATTGTCATATCGACTAAAAATCGTAGCATGTACGTAGGAAATTGTCATATCGACTAGGTACTTCAAGTACAAGCTTAACTATACCCATTTACAATTATGACCAATGTACGAAACTAGAACACATGATATTGGTATATCATTTAGATTCTGAAGGCTAATCACACCCTGGAACAGGTTTGGTAATAACTTGTTCCAGGATTCCACTTGTTCAAAACTTACATATTTATAAAATTTAGAAATATTCAAAAGTCAGAATTTTTATTTATATATAAAAACAACTGTTCGAACTTGTACAATTGTATTACTATACAATATTACGTGATTTGCGCAGTAAATTAAATTTGCATATTGTTAAAAACGTGTCGTGCCTAGACGCAATCACAAAGTACAAAAATGTTTACATGTTTTCAGAACCGTATGTTACTGCCTGTTGCGATCATGCAAAATTTCAAAACAGATTTTTATTGTAAGTAGCAGACTATTGTAACTAAGAAGTCATCCTGTTATCATTAAAATTTATTACCTTATACCTTATTTTACATCGAGTGTCTTGAATAGTAGTTATATTTTTAATAATATTATCTGTCGTTTATATATATATCATATCGCAAAAAAATATTTTTATTTATGTAGAATACCCATATATGTACATATAATCAATCGCCTAGTTTCCTGTAGACTAGGTTTTCATTATAACTACACAATTTCGTTACAATCATACATTATTTATAGCCTATGATCGCCTATGTATCAGCATTTAAATTGTATATTTTAACTAACCACAAACGGTGTTCGTCTTATTATTTAGTATGAAGTTATAAATAATATGCTGCTTCCACAGTTCATTAGTTTTTGCATTTTACTATTGAAATTATTTTTTTCTTCTACACGTCAACTGAACAAAAGGTTACTTAAAATATTTTAATATTTTCCGCTAATCTATAAAAACTCCTTTAGAAGTGAATGACTATTGAATTGATAACTAAATATTTTTAAAGATTTACTAAGGTTACACAACAATTATAAGATGGGAACAAATATAAAGATGGGATTTGGATACTTAAAATGAAAATAAATTCATTATTTAAGCTTTTGTACGATTCGATTGCCAATTTACAAAACTATGTACAGTCACACTTTATTTATTTGCTTACAATGTGTTTATATTATGCGATTATTTTCTCAATTAAAGAAAAATAATAAATGTATGAGTTATTGTATTGCAGTTTAGATTAGTGTAAAAATAAGTTTTGCATTAAAACAGTGATTTTGTAAAATACAATATTTACAACTACGAACGTATCGCATACGAAGTATGATTGTTCCAGGTTGGAATTTTTTGTCGTATATACCCAAGTAACAACACGAATAAGTGGAGGGAATTGTTAGTAATGGGAACTTTACTATTTTGCACACAATACTTTGTTAGATCGAACTCTACGCGTTCCCTCCTGGAAACCGTTGTGATTAATTGATTGATTTCGGTACGATGAGGTACCTGACCAGATGTCATCCTCATTGACATCCTTCACTTTTGCTTGCAGCATTTGCGCAAGTAGGATCATGCCATCATCAATAAAAATTCTACAAACCAATTGTGTTAATTAAAATTATATTACCGTAATATTTGGAACCTATATATAAAAAAAAGAGAGCAATATTTTAGGGAAACGAATTTATACAGATGGAAGAGTAACAGAATATATATACTATAGTTCTTATAAAAAACGAACAAGCAACAACACAGTAGCGCCGAAACCCAATAGGTGCAAATAAGAATAGCATTGTAATAGTGATGATTATGAGATAGAACAAAATATATTAATTACTTTGCCTATAAGAGGTAGATCAACCGCTCCCCAAGTATCAGCAGCCCAGTGCACTACGCCCGAAGCAAAATCTGCTGTTAGGACACCAGCAATTGCTGCTAATAATAGTGAGGCATCTGCGCGAATGTGTCTGGCCATCAATATACCGGCACAAACGCATAATGTGCAACAAACCACCACACACACCGATTCTTGTAGTCGTTTGCCTGTAGAAAAAAAATATACTTGTACACTTATAACACTGCATATCTATAAATATACCTAATATTTTATATAAAGTTTATCGTTGATTTTAGATTACTTGGCGAATGTTTAACTTTTCCCATGTAGTTAAAAGTACTGAAACTCCTATAATCTTGAAAATAATAAAAAAGCAGTTGCTAAAAAATACAAATATCCATTTCACAATCAAAACATTTTCATCTGTGTCGACGTCAAAGACGTCAGGGACGAATTAATCGGAACTGGATGGATCGACGACAATAACTAGACGGCAAGTAACAATACGAGCGAAGATCGATTGAGTGTATTATAATTTAACATTGTTTGCTCTTGTTTGCCACAAGCGTTAACATCATGAATCAGAGACGTAGTATTTGGGATGGTAGGTAATGGGTGTACGTGTACGCTACTATTTTATTTATTCGATCACAGAATATATTCAATAGCTGTTTCCGCGACTTTGTCCATGTGGAATTTAACTTTTTTTTTCTAAAATAAAAGTAGCCAAGTTACTCCTTATTGCATCAGCTACCTGCCAAAAAAATTACACATCAAAATCGGTCCAGCCATTTCAGAGATTAGCCGGAACATACAGACAGACAGACAAAAATTAAAAAAAAAAAACGATTACTTCAATATTACAAACAGACACAACAATTTTATTTATATGTATAGATAACGCAAATCTGGTTAGGGGCAACAGGTTGTCACTAATATTAATTCGTCATGCCACATCTAAATTATGGCAAACTACATACAAATGTCACGTAATAGAGATTTTGGTGTTTAGGTGTCTGTACGATTCCTCAAATATAGAGCTGTACTTCTTTAGAGTATGCAATAAATATTAGGTCCTAAAATATGAAATTGGCGTTTCATAAGAGAGCAACCTAAAATCGACTTATCAAAACATAATATATTTATTTAATCATGGTACATACATTGCTATATGTGCACTTTTGCCCTCTCACAGGTAGTTTATTGAACTATTTACTAATAAATCAGACGGGAATCAATAAAATTCTTTGGACTGCTCCATCGGAGTTGAATTTTTTCCCTTGCAAGACGTTATACAATTTTCGAAAAAAAAAAAAAATGGTAATCTGTTAGAGTAAGGTCCGGGTCCGGTACGGTGGATGTCTTAGACATTCCAAATGAAGCTCTCTTAATTTGGTAACTGTAGTGTTGTGCAGTGTGTGGTCGTTGTCCAGAAGCAGCAATGGCCTACGGCGATTGACTAGCCTCGGTTGTTTAGCACCTAGCTTTTCCATCATGGTTTGCAATTGCTGACAATACACATCTGCCGTAATCGTCTGGCTAGATTTAATAAAGCTGTAGTGAACAACACCAGCACTAGTCCAACGAACGCTCACAAGTCACTTTTTTGAGTCAATTTTCGCTTGAGGCGGGATTTGGCTGGTTCGCTACGGTTCAGTCAATGCGATGAGTGCTTCCGATTATCGTACAAGATCCAATTTTAATCACAGGTAATGATTCGATTTAAAATCCCTTCATCATTATGCCGGTTTACTAATGTAACGCAGCAGTCTATGCGCATTTGTCGATTTGCTCCATTAAATTCATTCCCACCATTCCAATTTTTTCACTTTCCCAAATTGCTTCAAATGGATTAACACAGTTTTGTCACTAATACAGCAGCCTGCACCTAACTCGGACGTTGTTTACGATAGATCCGCTTCCACAATAGTCTTCAAAACTTCATGATGAATCTTGGATTCCGGCCGCCCCCCGTGGGCGTGGCTTGTTTTGCAGGTCTAAATTTCCAAAACAAAAACGTTAGAACCAAAAATGCGCTGTATTTTCTTTTGCGATACCACCGCCACACACATCATTTATCCTTTAAGTAGTTTCTAGAGCATTGGTGCCACGGCTGAACTCGTACTATTTAAAAACGTGATGTTTTATGTTTACAAAGTGACGCCAAGAAAAAGGGAGAGATGGAAAAAACATATGGATTACGGTTTTTGAAAAACAAATGCATGAGTAAATAGTAGCTGTATAAATTTGAAATTGGAATTCCTAACCAAAGAGGCCACTTTTATCTCAAATATCTCCATTTGAGATAAAAGTGGCCAGTACGACAAAACGCCAATTTCTTATGTAAGTAAATGTTTAGTTGAATTCACCGCTTTTCTTTTCAATATTTTTCTGGTTGGTTTACGATGACGGTAAAAACCAAGAAATTTTACTTACTAAACAAGACAAACGAACACTTTTTTTTTTAATGAACAATATAATTTTGAAGCAATTATATTGATACGCCAATTTGTTATTTACGTGTGTAATTTATTAATGTGTTTTTGAGATATTACCGCAACAACTTCCGGTTTGTTGAAGGTTTTGTTTTTTTTTTATGGATAATAATGGAATGTGCTCTCGCCTGCGCTACCTGTTTACACTAGCGGGGCACCAGTGAAGGATGATAAGATGAACATCAGGGCACGTCAGTCAGCCCATTGTGACAAAAACAACAGGAATTTATCACGATGGTTTCCATGGGAAACCGCGTGGAGGTCAACCTTACATGGCACATTGCTAGCATTGGCGTTATTAGGCCACATTACTAACAATTATCTGCCCCCCTGATGTAGATGTTTTTTTAAGGTATGATAATGGAATGATGCACTCGCCTGCGCTAACTGTTTACGCTTGCGAGGCACCAGTGGAGGATGATAAGATGAACATCAGGTCATGTCAGTCAGCTCATTGTGACAAATTCAACAGGAATTTATCACGATGGTGGGGACCGTGTGGAGGTCAACCTGACACATTGCTAGCAATTGGGGTTATTAGCCCACATTACTAACAATTCTTTTCCCACTTGTTGTAGATGATTAAAAATTATTCCGCACACGTAGCTATGTTAACGTCGACTGATTCAGAAATTTATAAGACGTAAGACAGGGTCAAAATCGCATCCCTGCGGACTTAAAGTATTATAATATGGTTGAAATGATATGATTGTAGTAATTGTATATCAACATAGTGTACGTAACGTAGGTATATGTATACATAACAAAATATGTAGTGCGATTGAGATTTTGATCTTCAACAATAGATAAATGCTGATTTGGACGTAAACAGAATAGCCTATCACTTATTTATTTTTATGACGGTGAAGTTATTTGTCAAATTAAAGCTTATCTGCATCCGAATCTATTGAAGTAACTTTATCTTATATTTGTAGACCCCTCCCCCCTCCCCCACTGAGCTGGTTCCAGGACTTAGGTGGCCCACTAATTGAACATAAAGTACAATAAAGAATAAATATTTTTAAGTACATTAATAAATTACTAATTTTATAATTTAATTTTACCCCCTTGACGTGACTCCACGACATAAGAAATATAATGGTTAGAATTATTATGTAAATAAATAAATTGTCCCTTAAAATATATATCTTATTTTTTTTAAAGCTAACATTACATATAAAAAATTATATAAGCAATGAAATGTTGGAACATTGTTTTAAAAAATAAAATCCCACTATGGATAGATGAATATGTATATTTTTTACCAATAACAATATTAACACTTCTGAATTATCTCTATATATATTATCGTCATAAATACGTTCATGTAACTCAAAAACATGAACAAAAAGTATACATGTAGGCATATATTTTTGTAAATGTTTTTGAGTTATTAATAAACTATAAACCATTAATAATTAGTTCTAAACTCATTGGGTAAACTGAGAGTGGTGTCTGCGTAGGTAACTCAGTCTCATCCATTGCAGCCAAGCACTTTTCTTTTTAAGCTATGTTTCGGTTCTATAGAGCAGATTAGTCAGTAAAATTACAGGATAATTAGCATTATATGCTCTGGAATGGCAACGCATCACAGTTCACAGATATCACATCATAAGCTTAACGTCAATTACGTGGTAGGTGGTGATCATCACCTATATACATTAACAACACCATCAGTTGACCCGTTAATCTGCTATTCCAATCACCCGGAGGTTGTTGCCCCTGGAGTCGGAGCAATGGGGTTCGCCCCGAGGCCTCAACCTGCGCGTCCCTAGGGGGGTTCGGATGACCGGTCATTCATTCATGTTTCAAGTTACTCCACTACGTCATTTCGATTCACAGAACTCATTTTGTCGAGCATGTTGAACTAGTCATAAATAAATAAATCTACACTAAATGCGATTTATGCGCGCCAGGAGAGATGAAGCGCGCGGGGCCAACAGAACGTATTTATATTACAGTACGGTACGGTATTGGTGCATAGGTTGTGTAAACAAAATATTGCGCAATATAGAGTACTACTAAAATTATACACGTTCATGTATCCATGATTAGATTTTTTTAAAACAATACATATTATACCAGAAAGTAGAATTTTAACATGTAATAAGTAATCAATTAATGAACAACTTAGATATATTTTTTGAAGTGGTTAATTTCTAGATTCTTATTAAAATACACGGCCAAAAATTGTATTTCTTTCTTTATTGTCTCTAATATATGAAGACATGTCTATAATAGACTCATGTACAGTTACAATTTTTTACAGCAATCTTCCATAGGTACTGAGAAAATAAAAATTACCTTGTTTAAAATTACTTTAATAGACAGTGGCGGCGGCTTTAGGGCGAAAGGGCAATCCCCCGAAGCGAGGTCTTGCAAGAGCCTCGCGAAACAACCCAAGCAAATTTTAAACAATCAGTAAGTGCCTCGTAAGAACCTGCCGCCCGGAGACCCGAAGTTGGTAAGGCCGCCGCTGTCCATAGATACTGGTGTAGATTTCATATGCTTAACAGGGCAGGCTCTTTAAAATATGATTTGGTAACTGTTTACAGTGATAGTTATAATTGTTTGTTATTTATCAGTACAGACAATAGCAAAAATATATAATTGTCAGAGTACCATCATTATCCTGTTTGGTGATAAAATTTTGCTCCCATCAGCGCTAACGGTATATGTTGCCCGCCAGCGACAATTGAAGGTGATATAAAGAGAATAAGCTCAGGTCAATTTGGTCTCTGAGATTAAAACCAGACTATAGATGGCCTTTTGTTGGCTTTGTTACCAAGCAATTCTTTCAATTCTACCACTTACATAAAACATAAAAAAAAGAAACATTTAGTGAACAGTATTTTCCGAATTAATAAAAGAAACTACAATTATTTTGTAAAGTAACATTCTTAATAATATTTTGAACAATAAACATTCTAAATAATGAATTAATCTCACTTTTTCACTTGAATCATTCAATTAATACCAACCCAAACTCGAGTCAGGAAGAATTCAACTTGAGTTAACTTAAACTTTGCAAAAATGGAGTTAAATTTAGTTAGTAAATCAAGTGGACATGTCCCTGATTAGTCATTAAATGTCAAATAACTTGTATATACACTTATTATAAGTTTATCTGCTATGTACCAAGTACTCAGTTCAAGATCTATACATTTATTTTCCCCAGTTCCTAAAAATGTACATTTCTATGGTATAGTTTATTTAATGAAATAGCATAAAATTGCTTAAATTACAAAAAAATACTTTTATATAGGGAAAAGGTTGACAGTAACAAAAAATAGACATAAAAAGAAAAGCACACAGTGATTAGGGTATTGTCAAGTCTTGATTAATTAAGATTATATGAATTAATTTTTTTTTGTTATTGTAAATATACTATCATGACTACTAGACTATCATCAAACTGTAGTCTTCAACTCAACTTCTGTAGTCTTAACATCAAATTGTAGCCAAACGTAATTGACATAGAAACTTTTTGTTACTCATAATTGTTACTACTATTATACCCTAATCTTCCTTAACTTGTAAGTTAGCATTAATACATAAATAGTATGAAAGTTGATAGGTAGTGGATAAACATTTCAGTTTAGGAGCTTGTAGAAAAATGCAGTCTCTTTGAAACATAGGGACTATTTGTAGATTGACTGACCTGGGCTGTACAGCTCGGCGAGTTCTTGAGCCCCTTTATGGCGTGGACCCCACCGAGGTAGCGATCCTACTTCACTTGGAAGTTGCGTATTAGCATTAGGATCGTCCTCATACATCGAATGTTCCAAAATTTGTCGTTCTGTTTTCACCGGCGCCAATAAAGTAGTGGCCATGCTACTAGCATATTCAAAGCGTTCACAGGTCAATCCACTGATACCATCTCTTTTTGCACAAGGTGGTATTGGTAATGGCAAAGCCATAATTAACCCTTATAATAAAAAACTATTTTGTGAAAAATATGTACTGGAATTAAAATTAAGTTACAAATAAAATAATGTTTATGTGTATATTTTACTTGAGATACAATATCAAGAAATGTAAATGATGAAATGAATCACATATAACATTTGATCAGTGTTGCCAACACGACTAAGACAAAATATGCTAAAGTGCTGTTAAAATTATACCAAACTGTTCTAAAATTATGCTAAAAAAATATGCTAACATTTTTCAATATCAAACAAAAGCTTAAATCTTTTGTTAGTACTGGCACGGTACACTCGGAAAGTTATCTGTCAATGATATTACATTGTTTCCTGTATTCTATTATTCCTATCAGATTGCTTTTATAGATATACATAGGTATAACAAATAAAATTTTATTCAACTTAGATACCGTGTTCTGCGCAAACCCTCACAAATTGATAGCAGAGCATGATTAACAGTAAAATGGCATCTGCGTCGAGTTTCCGCAATATAGAACCTTTAAATAAGGAAAATTGGGGGGAAAGGGATTGTTAGTAATGTGGATTGATAACCCCATTGCTAGCAATGTACCATGTCAGGTTGACCTCCACGCGGTTCCCCCTGGAAACCATCGTGATAAATTCTTGGTGAATTTGTCACGATGTCACTGACCTGACCTCATGCTCATCTTATCATCCTCCACTGGTGTCCCGCCAGCGTAAACCGTTAGCGCAGGCGTGTGAGCCATTCCATTATCATCCATAAAAAAAACATAAGGAAAATTACGATAGTTGGAGCCTACAAGCACAGGGCGTGTTGAACAAAAATGATTACTGGGATATCGTCAGTAGTGCAAAAACATTGTCACCCAGGTCTGATGCAGCGGCAGCGACGGAATTTAATAGAGTGGACCTAAAGGCAAGGGCTGAAATTTTACTTTTATTATCACCGTCGGAATTAAAGCAAATTAAAGCATGCATGACATCGAAAGCTGTTTGGATAAATTAAAATCAATACATCAGAGCGCCAAACCACCAAGAAAAGCGACCTTGCTGAAACAACTGGTTCTAAAACGTATGAGTGTTGGATAAGATATTCACGATCACATAAATAACTTCATGGACTTTGTGGATAAACTCGCTGACATGGAGATTAAAATACTTCCACAGTTACTCGGCATTGTGTTACTGTATAGTCTACCAGCAACATTTGATAACTTCAGAATAGCCATAGAGTTACGGCATTCATTACCGAACCCCGAATACCTGAAGATAAAAATATTGGAAGAATATCAGGTCAGGAGCAGTAATGAACAAGGCCAGAACTCTGAAGCATATTATCTTAGAAACGAAAAACAAAAGTACCTACGCCAATAATTGTAGGAAAAAGACCACACCACCGAAGCATGTTGGGGAAAGAAGAAACGTGGCAATGAGAGAGACAACAGCAAGTAGCATAAAAATTTCAATGTTTTGCCTTAGTACCGTACAACAAGACCCTAGTGAAAATACATGGTGCCTGCACAGCGGCTGTTCATCTCATAATTGCAACAATAAATCAATCTTTATTAAATTAACCCCAGACAGGGGCACATTAAGATTAGCGTCAAGTAAGTACAACAGTGGAATTCAAGGTAAAGGAATAGTACCTAACTGTAAATTCAAATAATCAAGGTTACAATTTGATGTTCATTCAAATAATACATTGTATGTTCCGGATGTGTCAATAAACCTATTGTCAGTAAGTAAGATAACTGTCAAAGTAAATAAAGTCGTTTTTGAGAAAGACAAAGCCTATGTCATTGAGAAAAGTGGCGAGGTGGTAATTACGGCGCAAAGAAAAATAAGCTGTATTACATCGAATTTGACATGACATTGGCAAAATGAAAAATTAGAAACATGTGAATTACGTTTTCGTATGATGAACTTTGTTGTGCACTAGACCATCTTAATGACTCTTCCCCAGGCATAGATGGCATACCCTATTCTTTCATCACAAAATCTTCAGTTCTCGCCCAAAAGAAACTGCTTGATATAATTAATGCTGTTTTCACTACAGGAATCCGAATCCTGGAAGTCTATTTTAAAACCTCATTCTGATTCATATAGACCAATAGCGTTATCCTCCACTCTCGCTAAAATCACCATTTAATTAAAAATAGGACAACCAAGGGGCTATTAGCAAACAGTCAATTTGGTTTTAGACGGGGGAATGGGAACTAGAAAATATATGACACATATGATAATTCAACTCCCATCAGGCAGAAAATGATAGTATCCCCGCGAGATTAATACATTCATTTGTAAACTGAAAGGCTTATGAACTGGTCCTAACCTTGCATAATTGATAAAAGAGAAATTAAAGAGACAACCATTCAACATATATACAACGGAACCATTCGAAATAATTCGTAGCGATGTTTGTGGACCATTGGAATACGAAACATACTATACAATACTGTCATGTCTATTTAATAAAAAGAAAAGTGACGTATTAGAAATGTTCAAACAATAAAAAAGTGAAGTCGAAACATTTTATAATAATAGGATAAAATATTTACAGTCAGACTGCTTATCATAAAAAAATAGCTTGACGATTTCCTTAAATTGCATGATATCGAAAGAAGCCTAACGACTGTTTATACTGCACAATAAAATGAAATCAGCGAGAGGAAAAATAGACCGTTGTTGGACATTGCCAGGTGCGTAATTATTGAAATCGAAAGTACCTATGAAACTTTGGGCAGAGGCTATATCTATTGCAAATTACCTGATTAATCGTAGGCACTCCAAATCATTGAAAGGTGATATAGATACAATTTAGGAATTGGTTGCGTAAGACAGCTTCCGGCAGTCATCTCAACGTTTTAGGTAGGAAGATCTTTATCTTAAAAAAGAATAGATGAGGAAAACTGACCCAGAATACCAAAGAGGGTGTGTTCGTAGGCTATTCCTTAGCCAGCAAAGACTATAGAGTATATATACCTAAAGATGATGATGTGGTAACTAAAGAGACGTAAAAATAATAAATAAAATGTGTTATGAAGAAAATGATGAAAATTACAATAACCTTTTAAACGATGACGAACAAATTTCACAAATTCATGCAACGGAATGTCAAATAAAAGATAACATGTATAAGAAAAATAAAAATATCCAGCAAATAGAAATTGAATTTACAGATAGCGAAAATTATTTACAAAGTTTAAATAATCCGCGTCACACCGATTTGACAGAAGATCGACTCGACTCACGACGGTTTCGTCAGGATCCGTTATCAGAATAGCTATGAAAAAAGATTTAAAATTAAACCAAATGGATGTAACCACAGCATATCTAAATGGTGAACTAGAACAACATATAATAATGAAATATCCGGATTATTTAGAAGGGTATTTAACCGAAATATTGGTTAAAGAGAGTGAAAAAGATGATCTGACATTATACGCACAATGAAACAATGTAATGTTAATGGACATAAAAAATATAGCTATAGGTAAAGTTTGTCGTCTTATTAAAGCTTTATATGGACTTAAGCAAGCGGGGAGGCAATGGCATAAAAAACTCGACATGAAATTAAAAAATGTAGGGTTTAAATCATCAAATGATGATCTCTGCCCATACATACAGGAGAAAAGTCGAGAAAAAATTATAATTGCTATCTATAACGATAATTTATTAACCGCTTACTCAAGTCCCGTTATTCTAAAAGAAGTTAAACACTTCTAAATTTAAAATTCGAACTTAAAGATTTAGGTCATCCGAAACGACTGATTGGTATAGATATTACTTATGAAAATAATACAATAAAATTAAATCAAGAAAGATTTATTGAAGATATTCTCAGATCATAGAAAATGAAAGATTGCAAACAGTGAACAATCTGTATTGACAGTCATAGAGCTAGGCTTTATACTACAAAAGGGAAAAGGCTATGAAAATAAAAATATCTCGTATAAAAATTTTATAGGTTCCTTATGCACTTTGCAGTCGATACTCGTCCCGATATTATGTTTGCCATTGGCTACTTATCCCAGATTAATGACTTTTATGGACAGGAACATTTCAAGAGTGCTAAAAGAGTAATGCATTATTTGAAAAAGGCAAAAAAACGTCGGCTTAATTTTAGAAAAACTGGAGATAATTTCCGGCGTATGTGAGATTGATAGAATGTCTTTTTCAGGTTACTGTTTAAAGTATACTTAATTTAAGCACTTTTGAATAGTCATAGTTATCCTTCTTTTAATCTACCGCTCATTGGGAAAGCCGTCTCATCACAAGAAGAAAGAATAAGAAACTTGCGTGTTGCTCTTTTAAATAATCGTTGTAACTTTACATTTTTAAATCGAAACGTGTATATGAATATGAATACAAACTACCGACTGGTACTAATTTGCTGAGATAGCCATATGCTGGATGTCTAAGAAGCAGAGGAGTATCACTTTGTCCACAGCAGAGGCGGAATATGCAGCCCTGACCGAAGCTGCAAAGGAAGCTATTCGTCTAAAGCTTACAAACTATAATAGCATCACAATCTTAAATGACAATCAAGACGCCCTCAAACTTAACCAAAATGGTAGGGTAACTTCAAAGTCAAAGCATATTAACTTAAAGGTACACTACATCAGAGACTGTAGGTATAGAAGAAGGTACATTTGTAGTCAAGTATCTGCCTACTGATGAAATGGAAGCAAATATGCTAACTAAGGCCTTGGCTGGATCGCGACTGGAGACATTGCGAAGTAATTTGGGACTAACTTAAACACGACATGCACCGTAAAGATGAATGTTAGTACTAGCACGGTACACTCGGAAAGTTATGTGTTAACGATATTACATTGATATATATCAAATAAAATTTTATCCAACTTAGATGCCGTTTTCTACTCAAAAACCCTCACATTTTTAATTTATTTTATGCTTTAATTCATTGAATCCTACTTTTTCTGTAAATATGTTTCCTCCTCCTACACTGTGTTTACTTGTGACATTTTACCTAGTATGTTGCTTGTTTTTGTGTATATGTATAATATTTGATTATGTATATTTATTTAACATATATATGTTTTCCTTTATACATAAATTTATGTTTTAGGGGAGTGTGGGGTACAGTGGTTCGCGGGTCACAGTGGATAGATTGTAGCTTTGCATGTAGTGCACA